AATTTATTGGTTATAGAACTTTTTAACTCGTTAAACAACAAAAGGCTGTGATACGAGTAGGCGTACACAGTGTACATAGTGTGTTCAAACTAATTGAACTTCAGGTTGAGAACTGGGGAGTGTAATAATAATCAAGACAGAAAAGGCGTGCAAACACAAATTAAGCTCTGTTACTTACGCTGTACGCATATTGGCATAATAGCCGAATAATGAGAATGCATACACGAACTAATAAAATTTATCTCCTCGTAATCCGTCCCACTATGATCGTATCCAACTAGGTAGATAACGTCCATAAACTCAAAGGTAACAACAGGTGCCGGAATTTCTCGATATTCAGAAATTGCGCCGTACTCAAAGCCAGGTATTAAAAAGTACGCAGCAGATTTTAATACTGTCGCACACCGCCCAGCAAAATGTTGCTTAAGGGATTTGGCCCGGTACATAGCATCAAATTCGTGTACATCCAGGGGAACTTTCGCTGTTGCGCGCTCCCAAACACTTTTGTGCATTGCTTTATGGTATTTTGTAGCCAGAAGAATTGTATACCTAGGTGAGAAAACCGCGCGCAACGTCCGGTTGCGAAGTTATGAGGGTAACAAAATTCCAAAAAGTTTCCCTTTCAAATTTTGCGCGTAAATGCACATAACCATGAAGATGGTTTTGACACGGATCCAGACTTCCACGATTTTTTTGAAATTTTAAAATGAATTTTAAAATTTTTGAAATTTATTTTAAAATTTGAAAAACATGCTGGAACAGTGGGTCCGTGTCAAAACGATCTTTATGGTTATGTGCATTTACGTGCAAAAGTTCAAAAGGGGATCGGTCCATAAGGAGACTTTTGGTACACCTGAATGCATTTAAACTTTTTGGAATTTTGTTACCCTCATAACTCAGCCACCGGATGTTGCGCGCGAAAACGGATTTCACGCCTATGTACACCAGTCATTTGGCTACACAATGTCAAAAAGCAACCCAAAAAAGTGTTTGAAAGTGCGCGAAAGCGAATATTCCCGTCAATGTACACGATTTTAGCGCTATGTACCGGGCCAAATCCCTTAACCATCGGTTGGCTTATCATGATTAATTTTCGCCGTTATGTACAACGGGCTGAGCAATAAGCTACCAAAACAAGAAGATAAGGACCCTGTGAATGTAATGGTGTGTATGTACAGTTATATGGCGCCAGTTTTTTTGGAAAAACAGCGAAGTTGAAACGCACGTGCGTATAACTGACAATTGCGTCGAACCGGCACCAAAGCAGATTAATCATTAAAACAGGACACCGTTGGCCACCCTGCTGGATCAGGTCTGTGTCAACTGTCAAGACTCAAAACACGAGTGTAAAGCGCGTTAGAAAGCGCGGTTTCACTCGGTAACACTAACAGCCATATTCTCTCTTCAGAATTTAATGATCTCGTAATGTTTATACAGGCAGTTACAAATTATTATCACTACAGTTCCAGCTTTCCCTTCCGGTCCGGAACTGTTTGTCTTCAATAATACTGCATGGCGTGGAGTGCGGCTAGCCCGCTGGGTATGTTTGATTAGATCATTAGAATTGCAGGGCTGAATCATTATTATGAGATGCAGTTTAGTATCGTTAAAAATAACTTTCTGTTTACATTTAGCACGCGGTCAATCTAATTCGTGCTTCGCGCTGTATTATTTCAATTTCGTTACTTGTACAGATAATTAGCGCTTTGACGTACTACAAGCTTATCCCGTAATTTCCATCGTAATGTAAAGATAGCACGTACTCTGCATATAGGTGAAATTTTCGTTATAATTTCTGCCACTATGCTACGTCTACAATGGCAGATTTACTGTTTAAGGTACATAAAGTTAATATTTTATTACATAATTCAAAATCGATGGTTCTTACTCGTAATTTATGTAGATCGATATTTGGCAAGGCCGCAAGTATCACCCATGCCAAATGAGGCCTGTCGATCGTAAAAAATATCCCGTGACGCGCTGTCGTATTGAGTTTAACATAACTCGTGAATTTATATTTTGTCGCTGTGTATGTAATAGAAATGTTAATGTACTGTATATTATAGAAATTACGGGACAACCTTGTAAACGTAAGCGCAGTTTTGGTAATAATCATTGGCATACTCCAGTCTTCAGTAGGACAACGTTGCACAGCATGAACTGAGTATTCATCTCAGAATTTATTTTACTGTAGAGTGACAGTGGTACGAATTTTAAGTTTGGGATTATTACGTGTCTCAGGTGTCTGTTTTCTACTTTGTTGCACACTGTATTGCACTATTATACTGCAGTGCGGTCAACCAAAATAATAATTAGTGAAATTAAATTAATAAGCCAGTACCACTGCTCGCGAGCTTCTATGTTTTAAATTGTTTCCATAAAATTATGTTAATTGTGTTTGGCCAATCAATATTTAAATACTTTATAGCTTTCAATTTAATTATACCTACAAGCGAAACCACCAAATATGAGTAAAACTGTTTCTAAGGAAAACACTTTAACATGAATAAGCCTTCAGGAAGTGCGGTGGTTGTATTCTGCCAAGACGCTGTACTGTTTAAGCTGCCAACTGCCAAGCCTAATTACCGGTAATATAGCATATCACAGACGTAATTTGTGATATACGTATATATTTTTATTAGTTAGTATAGACTATAGAGTTCATGTTGCAATTACAGCAGACAGATAACAAAAGCTGGAACGAGCTGTTCCTGACTTCCGCGTCTGTCTATTCTTTAACGGGGAAAGATGGAAAGTAGACAACAATAGTAATGTTTCTCTCACTTTGCCAGTTCAGTTGCCTAGTTCAGCTGCCATCAGACGGTGTTCTAACGTCAACAGCAAGAAAGTGAACAAACTGTACAGTAACAAAAAATTTTCACAAAATTTTTCGCATTTAGTCATAAGTCATAATCAGTGCAATTGCAAATGCCAACGTATGGGTTTCCGTAGGAAACGTTCCAAAATGTTATTAGCATAAGCCTTGTGAATTGTGATTCATTTTACTGCGGCGCTTTGTGCAGACCTCAATACAGTGTGACCTTTAAAATTTTTGTTCCGGTTCTTACTCATGCCCTTCGTGCATGTCCATTGAGGTTAACGCTGTACATGATAAATTGATTGTGTGCTGGCAACATTTTCAAAAATTACTGTAGCCGCTAGACGAACTTGCACCACAGAGTCTGGTGTACGGAAAAATGCAGGCATAATATACACACTTTGCTCCGTGTAGAAATGTTTCGATTTGAATTTTTTCACTCTGATGCTACCGCCATTTTACCTGTTTTGCTGTTCATTGCTGGTTTTTTAATCTTTGCAACGTTAGATAATTATAGTAAGAGCACAATGTCAGAGCTCTGACATTTTTCTAATTGTAAATCTGGTTTGTTGTGGTTTTTGGGGTTCCCCTGGCAGGGGCAGGCTGCAGGCAGGCACCGAGTACAGTACTAGTACAAAAACTGAAACGCAAAGTGTGCGCCGCCCGGTGGGAGGAAGGCTCGTGCTCGATCCCCGGCCAGTGGCAGGCAGCGGCCGGATCTAAAGTGGTGCAAGTTCGTCTAGCGGTTACAGTATAGATTTGACCAACCATTCCGAATGTGCTTCCTACGTGCGGTGCCACATTTTTTAAATTCTGCCAGGTTTCATCGCTTGCCAGTTGCCAGAGACTCCAGCTTTTACCGCATTTCATGCCATTGGCAGTGCCACTGGCAGGTGCCACTGCCACGTTTTACCCCTTGCCGATTCGTTGTAAAACCTCTGGCGTAATTTCACGTGAGACACAAGGTCACAACCATATGTTCATGTAGAAGAATACCTGTTCGGTAGCTAATGACAACGTGACTGCAAATCAGCGCCGCGATAACGGAAAAGGTCACAAAACTAACGTACCGCTATTTACAAACAACGCTGTCAACAGTGTCCGGTCAGTTGTACAAAATCACTGCCCGGAACGAGCATGGCAGAACCATGTTATTGATCTAGATGTACCATCTAATTCCCAGTTATGAACTTGGCTCAGGAAATCTGAGGATTGTGTTAAGGCAATCTGGAAACTTTGAAAATGCAGCACGAACCCTGAAAACGTCCGAGATTTTTGTTGTGCATTGTATTACAAAGAGCCCTCATATGCGAGCTGGCATTCACTACACGTGTCGCATAATCAATAAATGCCTTTGTAACGACTTAAATTTGCAATGTCTGGAAGAAGAAATAGGAAATCGGGTACAGGGATAGCCCATGAAGGTTACACTTGCAGACTACTGTTTGTAATAAGCACGGTGCAAAATTAATATCCATCAACGTCCCATTTTGCTAGTACTTACCGATCATTCAGATATGTTCAGCAGCAGAAGAACTCTCATACAACAGTAATCGCGAAAGTCCGCACCGACAAAAAAATAGCCGGTTAAACTGCTGAAGATAATATTACATTATAATGCAATTCCCTTTCAAGTTTGCAATAACATTTATCGCCGGACATTTCCCTTTTCATTTATATTATGTATTTATTTCAGTTGTGTCCTGGGTTTGTAGTTGGCGGTTAGCGCCGATTGGGCTATTTTATTAGATAAAATATCAAAGACAGTTTTATAACGGCTTTTTGAGTAGCCACGATCAAGTGACCTTATGCGTTACACGTCCGTGTTTTTGAATTCGATGAACGACACGCATCTATTTGAGTCGGTGCAACTCAGCAAGCCTGTTTCCTTCGCCTCGCCTTGGCGGACTTCTACGGCACGCGCCGCGCCGTGCATGCGGATGGATCTGATTAGATCTGGAGGAAGCGCTGCTTCGGCGTCAACGAGTGCGCCGAATGCGACCAAATATGCATCAACACACTAATTCATTATTGTGCTTCCAGAGTTTAATAATTACGCCAGGCGCATTATTAAATCTGGTGGTTAATTACAGTTAATTTTTTTTTTTTCAAACAAAGATATTTTATTGCATAATAACAAAATCACAGCGGAGCTGCTAAGAAATACAACATCGGGCTCCAATCATTCCTGATTAGCCAATCTAAACGCTAAAAAAACGTCTTCGTTGTCTCGCATCTCATTAAATGTTCCGAGGACAGACACAGCACTTCCGCGTTGTATTTCAATGCTGATTCTCTGACGCAAAAACTCTCCCGACCGAGGGTTACCACTACATTCGCAAATCTTTCTTGACAGATCTTTGAAAAATTTCTTTGTTAGTGGTCCAAATGTCCCCGTAGTTTCAAAAGCCAGAGGTTGTATTACAGTTAATTATCATTTGCCAGTTACGGTAGTACAGCCTGTAATTCGTTTTTATTGATTTCACAAGAAGCGGCAACATTACTGTTTCAAAACAATAAATCAAATAAAAAATAACTCATTTAATGCTGCCGCTCCCTCCATTGTCCCGAGTACGGAAGCAGCGTTGCCTCGCTGAATTTCCAGCGACAGTCGTTGACGGAGGTACTCATGGGAGCGTGGCTCACCCGTATGCTGTTGAAGTCGCTTGCCAATTTCTTTCACTAATCGGCTAGCTGACTTTCCCCATGGTCCAAGAGTTTCAAAAGCCAGCGGTACGAAGATGTATCTGCCCTGAAGGTACAAGTACAATCCCGCTTTCTATCCTCCGCCTGTGCGGCGGATCCCGCGGTGACTGATGTGGCTTTCCGGTGAGACATAGCCACAGTGTCCACGCAGGTCACGTCCCACGCCAAACACATACCGCGTTGCCACGCAAACGTGGTGCAGCCATCTGGGCGGCGGTCCGATGTGTGGGATGTTCCTCGCGGCTCCAATTTTGCAGGGATGCCGGCTGATACTAACGATCTGCACAAAATACTGTTCAGGCCGCCATGGCGTGGATGCCTTCCAGCTGAGAATGCGCAGGACAAGCCGTGGTGACCATACACATCAACGGGCTTGTGGCACTTCGAACAAGAGTGTGCTTCACAGATACTTACACCAAGTCTCAGGCCGACTGATATCTTCACGGTGTCATCGTCCAAGAGATTACCGATATGTGCCGAGGGCAAGGCATTTAACCATATACCAGCTTCCGGTGTCGACTGTGCGAGGAGGCGGGCCCGGTTGATTTCATCGTCGCGAAAGATGTCCAGCAGTACGGATAGCGATGCGTTACACAGTGGAAGGTCCCATGTTCGTTGTGCTTTTCTGGCATTATGCTCCGGGAGTTCTGCCAGGCGTGCGTTAGTTTTCCATAACTCGAAAGCGGCAGAGATGTTAACAGCGGGGTGATCAGGGAGCAATAATGATATTAAGTCGGTTACGGAGTGAATCGAAGCCAAGAAGGCTGGAAGCGCTAATTCTTCCGCCCGACGTATACCAATACCGCCTCTGCTCACTGGAAGTGTCGCCTGCCGCCAACATGGATAGTCATCGTGGCTGGTCCGTACATTACACAGGGTCTGGAAACACAACCGCATTGCTTCATCCAGTTGGTAGAGCTGTTGCGGTTGTTTCCAGGCATTACAACACCGCAGCATATAAATAATTTTCGGGGCCCCCAGGCAGTTTTTTAGGAGAAAAAGTGCGTGGTGGCGGGGCAGTAGCTCCAGGCGGTCACACGCCATCTTTACTGTTGCGCACTTCTCGGCAACAGCTGGACCGATGCCTTCAACCAACACCGGTGCACCTAGCAGCAGGAAGTCGGTGTTAGTCAGGATACGTAGTTTCGGGTACAACTCCTGGAAAAAGGCCACAGCGTCGTTTTGGGCTTGCTCTGTTCCTCCAGAGATATGAAGCTCGCACTTCGCTTCGTTCACCACTAAGCCAATTTCACGAGCTTTCCGGATGATCTCTCCGAAGACGTGTGCTACTGTCGCTGGCTTACCGCCCACGGTTCCATCATCCAAGAACCAGGCGTTTAAACCTGCCTTCAACGATGCAACGACTGGCTGGAGTGCAAGGCAGAACAGTAATGGGCCCAGTGGATCTCCTTGCTGCACTCCCGACTAGGAAGACATAATTATCTGTTCAATAAATAGCGAAGAATGATTACCATATGCACAATGAAGAAAGGCTTTGTATTCGGGTAGGTGAAGTTCAGCGGCATCTAAAACAGCTTTTCTGGAAACGGTGTTGAAGGCGTTCTTGAAATCAACTTTTAGAACCGCTTTTAGCTCGGCAGCGGACGACTCCCCAAATACTCTTGTCGCATGCACAATTGCTTCTGCCCCACCACGCACGTTAAAACCAAGCTGCTCGGGCGACAAAACGGATGTAATACGATCGGCAACACGATAGCAAATTATCTTTGCTGTAAGACGGCGTAAAGTTAGACCAACCGCAATCGGGCGCAAGCCACCGTCCTTCTTTCTCAAGGCGAGCAGTTTGCCACCGAAAAACACTGGTCGGATCTCCTCCGGGATGCTTCCGTTAATTGCCAGATTCAAAAGGCCTAGACTCCAACTCTGACTCTGACTCTGATTCTGACCACTCAAACTCTGACTCTGACTACTCAAAGTCGGACTCTGACCGCTCAAAGTCTGACTCTGACTCTGAAGGTTTCTTAGGTTTCTTAATAGGTTTCTTAATAGGTTTCTTAGGTTTCTTAGGTTTCTGAGGTTTCTGAGGTTTCTTAGGTTTCTTAGGTTTCTTAGGTTTCTTCGGGTTCTTAGGGTTCCTGGGTTTCTTAGGTTTCTTAGGTTTCTTAAGTTATTCTTAGGTTATTCAGTCAGAGTCAGAGTTTGGACAGTCAGAGTCAGACTTTGAGTGGTCAGAGTCAGAGTTTGAGCGGTCAGAGTCTGAGTCAGAGTCAGAGCTTGAGCGCGGGCCGATTCAAAACGTTCGCTAGCGCTTCGCAAAGTGGCCTACAGTGATCATCGAATTTGTGTCCGACCATGTCGAGAAGGCGTTGTGGACGTAAACCATCCGGCCCTGCTGCTGAACCACGAGGAAAAGTGTGTACGGCGGAAAACACTTCTGCTGCTGTGATAGGCGGCGCTGCAGCTGCTGGCGGAGCGAGCGGAGCCGAGGTAGGGGGCGGTGGGCATTCTGGATGCTTTTCCCGTAGCTCGTGTAGCACAGCAGGGGAAGGGGTGGCGACAGCGTCTGTTGAGAGAATTAGCCGCATGGCTCCAGAAATGCTACCGTCGTCAATTTTCTGCCCGACACGGCGTACAAGATCCTCTTGATCTGATTTGTTTTTGGGGGCCGGCGGGGGCGGTGTCGGGGGTAGCTCGGTTCCTCGATGGAAGGCGCCGACGTTCCGTTTCACAAAAGTCGCTAAAGATTCTGTCCGTTCCGATTTAGTTTTCGGCGGTGCACGGAGCGCGGTAGAGGCAAAGGAGAACAGCTTTTCCCAGGAGGGCTTATCGTTCTTGTTGGCGACCTGCTGTAGCGCCGTCCTGAGTGAGTCCCTGGCCGCAGAGCGAGCTCCGTAATTATTATTAATTACCTACTATCTTTACTATTACTATACCTGTTGCTACTATACGATTGATTTCTGTTATTATTGCCATTAGAAGTAGTATTATTTTCGGGATAGCTGACGAAGCTCTAGGACAGAAATTTCAGTCCCAAAACTGAATGGCACAATAAGTTTATCATATAAAACCGAACCACAACTGCCCGCGAAGCCGATTATTAAAAACTGAAAATGAAATAACATAGAAAAATAATAGTACAGACCTCAGTTGATATGATTACATCATTACAAATATAGTTCGTAGTTGTTATTAATGATATAATTCTGGGAAGAGGAATCCTGTAGCAATAATTAACTATTGCGCGAAACATTTTAATCATACAATTTTATGGCTAATAACTGAAATTCAAAAATATCGCGTGTAGAGGACATGTGCGACATTTACTGCTTCAACACCGGCAAATGCAGTAAGGACCGCCGGGGTCAGCCGGTGTGTAGCCGCAGAACGGCCCCGGCCCTCGCGATGCAGGCCGGCTCCGATTTGGACTGATGTCCGTGGCTTGAGGTCTATGGCAGTGGGCTTGTAAACATGGTTGATAACTACCGTAGCAAAAATTTTCTGGATAAAAGAACTAATGTTTGAATGCTAAACGTTTCGGTCTGGAAGATGGCTAGTGTTGCTAACAATGATTGAAGCGTAATCGTTATTTGATTACTAGTACAAAGAAGAGTGCGCTGTTGACGAACAGGCAACTGGCGAGCAACGTGCAGTCGAAAGCACGGAGACGGCTGTTACGAATTACTTTCAGTGCGAAAACGACGGGCGGTGCGATGGAGAGCGAGGGAGTGCATGCTACTGCAACCAGTTTCCGTTTGGTCAACATCAGTAATCAAACAACCACCAATGCGATTACACCGATTAAAAGGCTGGACGAAGTTTACTTCCGGTTAAATTGGTTGCAGTTTGCGTTCTGTTTTTGTAACTTGTGATACTTAACTAGAGTAATCAAATGAATTTACTTTTTTATCAATTGGTACTTTGTTTCGTAAGCTTTAATTATGCAAGTCGATGCACAACGACGCATGATGCTAAACGCCGTTTAAGCGGTTATGTCTGGAAAGATGTCAATACCCTGCTTGACGGAAACCGTGGTTGCACGTGTATACCACGAATCACTGTATGTGTATGCAGCCAACCAGGCTGCAAACTGTTTGTTATCCTTCGGCGGCAAATTGACAGTCGACCATCCTGCGTCGGCGCTGGTGTCGTAAGCCTCTATCGTAACGGCGTTCTCGTCTTCAGTATTCATACCGCCGCAGATGTATATTCGATCCTTGATAACACAAGCAGCATGCCGCCATTTAGGCTGAAGAAGTGGTTCAATCTTTTCCCACGTTGTACAACCCAGTTTCAAACGAATACAGTCAGCTGTTGCAGGAAAGTCAAGCGTTGCGTCCCGAAGCATTCCGCCCATAATGTATATGTGTCCGCTGACCACGGCCATTGCAAAATACTCGCGATCTTGTTGCCATGGTAAGTTCTTCCATTTCTTGATCACCGTGTCATACTGGAAGAGGCGGCTCCTAGTAGCATAAAATATCTGCTCACGGCATTTGGCTACTGCTTCTGGTGAGTGGAGAGGGCTGTAAAATATAAAAAGCTAGAATCGTTGATACCATGACTGCAATGTATGCTGACCAAAAAAGAGGCCATACCGTTGATTTGGTTGAGTTAAAGGTGCAATTTCGCCTGTAGAAATGTCCATTTCTGTTAAGATTCCGGTATCGTCGAAGAAATAAGCCTTGTCCTCTACCGCAGCCACCGTTGTATACGGATATAATATTATATTCAAAGAAGGAACTGGCTCGTGTTGACCCCATGTTCCCTCGTCGACATTCCACAAATGGAATTTCACCTTGTAGACGTCACCATGACGTATCAGTTCCGTAATTACAATTTTGTTGGCTGTTACCGCTAACTCGCGCCACAGATACCCCTTAAGTTTTGGTGCGCCCCGCACCTCTTGAACATTAACAGAGTTAGTCAACGGATTGAATATCATGACGCAGAGATATTTAGAATCCCTGAGCCCAAAAAATACTATGACGTCTTTCTTCGGTAGCTCCTGGAGTAATTCTCCGGCGGATAATCGGTTTGCGCTACTTGTATCTAAACACTGTCGAATAATGCACGCTAAATTGTCCTCAATGTCGTCGCTTACAGATGGAACGTAACCGTCGATTATCAAGCATGCGTACTGGTAATTTCCAAGATCGCTTCCCGCATCGACGATATTCCCATCCTTTACGAGCTGTTTCTTGGGCACGCGTGCATAGTTTTCGGCCATCTCCAGAATGATGCATCCCAGACTCCACATATCCGTTTTTCGTCCTGGTCGCTCTGCTTCTTGTTGTGAAAATTTCTTCAGCATTTCCGGCGACATATAGCGCGTTGTGCCTCGTAACTGGGAAATGTCTGCAGAGCAGGTGGCGCTTTCTTTCATTTGCACCAGATCGTCTAAATCGCCAATCACCAGTTTCTCGCTGCCATTTTGCGAGACGATCAGAAGAATATTTTCAGGCTTCAAATCGCCGTGAATGATGCCCTTTTGATGGAGGAATTCCAGTCCTTGGGTCATGTCCTCTGCAAATCGAATCACTTTTCCCCAGTTGTTCATAAGGTTTGCGTTTTCCTTAGCTTCCCTTAAAAACGACGCAAGATCACCTACAATAATAAAATATACACAAAATAAATATAAAATAGAGAATAAATATTACAAGAGCAGAGTGACTTCGACAAAAGCTGCTTGTGATCCCTGTCACACCTTTATGATAATCCATTGCCAGCTCCACTGTCACTCCGCCCGAAGATTTTGTGATGGAAACCTTGTGATAGCGTACGAGATGTTTGTGCTTCAGTCCAGGAAGTTGTTTCATTCTCTGCACTGCGGTCATCCAGTTTTGTTGATCGGCAGCAATTGCAGAATTAATCGCGACATGCATCACTTTGACGGCTACGAAATCTGGCTCGGACGGAGTGCGGAATCGTAAAAGTGCTTTTCTGACTTTGGCTTTGTAAACTATTCCAAACGCTCCCCTCCCAATAAAGTCATCCTTCGCATAGTCGTACTGTATACTGCTGCCAATTTCTTCGACAGCACCGGAATTGCGGAAGCCTATGCTTTCCATTTCCGTAGTTACCGGATTATATCAACTGATTCCCGCTTAACCCAATGCAGTTTTGCTGAGACGGCCGCCACTAAACCGCATGTTTGGAGATTTCAAACTACGCATGACTTTATGGAGTGACAATTTTCTGGTGTACGGAACCTTGTAAAACTGTAAAACTGAGTGCCGTTGTTACCAAAAGTAAAAGCAATTATGCACATTGTTAAGGACGAAATACACTAGCATGAACGCGGCTGAGTTTAGCATTCACTCGTTTTCACTGCGCTTTGAGTTTTGCACTCGCTTCGCGGCCGAGAGTGCTTGCGATTGTTGAGCTGTACACCGCGCCGATGATACTGATAGCGCAAACTGATAAGATAATGTCAATGTGATGAATTTTGCTGCTGATACTGAGTATTAGTGCTGCTTCTGTAGCGGTAGCGGGAAAAGTTTATATTATTAATGTAACCCGAACTTGGCAAATGTGCACTGTGCAGTACTGCAGTGTGTTCCGTTTTCTCCATTCGATGCAACGCTGCCAGATTTTGTATTCATTGGTCCGGTATTGTCTAGAGTTTTGACCGATTTGGTTTCTGATGAAAAACTTAGATAATGTTTTTTTTTAAAACCTTCTTCGTCGTTCACAGTGACAAGGGAACCAAGTGGTTTGTTCACATCAGCCGGAAATCGCTTGCGGGCGCATCATCTCCTTGTGGACTCGGCTGGACTGGACACAGGACAATTATTATTAAACTGGCCAAATGTGTGCGAAGTCGAGAGTTATACAAAGCCAAATGACCACTGCCCAATGGCCACGTTAAACTTAACTGCCATGCAAATCAATTAATTATAACCGTCCGGTTTTCATCCATATGGCCGAAAACCGAAAACATATTGGCGGTCCATTTTGCCTCCGGTGGTCAGTCTCTGTAGTACACAGCCAGTGTGGCGAAGGTTAATTTGCTCTGCTGTGTCAAATTAAACTACCGCAAATCGACATGTTCCCAGGGGGCCAGCGCTGTGGGATCCCATCGGGATGAGCGTTGTTCAGACTGATTGAAAAAACAATCATTTGAATTGTGGAAAAAAATACGTTGTATTGGTTGTACAGTGTTTATGTCATACGCACATTTCCAGGAAGAGCCGTCATCAAGTCCCGGCCCGGCTGGTCGAGATATGCCAACGTTCACATCTTTTCCCACACTCACGACGCAGCCGTCGGACAGCTGTGCAAACGGCGGTGCTGAAGCGCCAGCACTGTTCCTTTGCCGACTGCGCATAAAAGAAGCGCACGAGCGGATAGCCACGACAAAACGCGCACGGCATCGTCGCCTTGCATGTCTGCTATCATCTTCGTCACCCACACGGCGTTGGGATGCCAGTTGCGCTCGCGCCATAGTGAATCGACATCGGTCGACCCGGCACTGTGTAACGCAGGAGCGGCAGCTATTCGCGCGCACTATTCGCAATCGGAAGCGCCGGTTGCGGTACATCCAGTGCGAGAGGTAACAGCATTTATAACGCGCGGTCACTGAAGATCCACGAATGTTGACCCGGTCCAGTTAGCTGCATTACGGCCGTTCTACGGCGACAAGCGGCTGCTGCGGACGAAGCCCGTGGTGTATCTGTCGCATTATTCGCAATCGGAAGCGCCGGTTGCGGGACATTCTCTCGCTCATACGGGCGGTGGGCTGGGCGAATCCACGAGGCGTCCGGAGATGCCCTGATCAAGGATTTCAGCGGGGCCTTGGGACCGGTCACCCGCCTGACCGCCGCCTACTCCCTCGATTGTCCCGCGCTGGACGCAGGAGATTCAGTGATCCTGTCCCGGCAGGAACGCCGTTTCGGTATTGCCGTCAGGCGTCCAGCCCCGTCGGATACGAGTTCGGTCTTCGTGTCCTTCGCTCACTATCCTCCTTTTTTCCACTTACTTTTTCTACAGAATATTCCTTGACATTGATTCGGTCGTAATTCTCAGTGTTATTTAGTTTGGCTTTTGTATGCTTTTCTTGACATGTGCTTTAAAAGAATAGCCAATAACAAGCCCATTCAAAATGATCTTCCGTTGACTAGATTTCGTCGTCGTCGTGCCTGGTTGATTAACGTTTGAGCTGGTCCGGGCACAGATATGCGGTGTTACCGTACATTTCAGACGTGATGCCAACGATATCGAACGGTGTTATTTTAGCGCAGCAAAGCGGAATTCCTGCCGAGCAGTGGCGCGGCTGTCCCGGGAAGATTTGGGATCAACAATGCGATCGGCGCTCTGCTCTCCTGTGGCGCGTAATCACCAAGGTATCTGTATTTGTCCAAACAAGGATGCCAAAGGCCAATTTATACGAAACTTCTGGTTTATCAAAAATGACAAATGCGTATCAAATTTTGTATGGAAGATCTAAATGCACATCTGTGCCTTGTGTATGCATCAGTTGTGGCTACCGAGTACAAACAAAAATTGAGGGTTTAACCGTAAAACAGTTGCGTATGAAGAGTATTCATTACATAACACCATCACTGACAATCACGTAAGACTCCAGCTGTCAAGGCCATGATGCTGGAGGGATTGCAGTGTTCTTCGAGCCACAAGGAGGTTGTAGCGGATAGCGCCTGGAAACTGGATGTATCTACGAGATGGTTGTAGGTCTGGAAAAGCTGGTCCATCAAGTTCTCAAACTACAAATAACCAAGGCATAATCGAGGCCCCTTGTATCAACAAGCGTTTACTAACCACATGAAATCTAATTTCATCCTGATTTGGTTGACCACTTTTGCCAGGGTGAATGTCCAGCTTTTCTGCAGCTGCTTCTTGACCTCTGAAATTGTAAGCGGGAAGTACTGGAGCCTAACGAGATCTGTCAGTCATTAGCGGTTAACCCTAACAGCGTGTGGACAAAAGCGTTCGCTTTTGTTACATGCATGTTCCGAATGCGACAAGGCGGGATAGTTTTTGTTTCTTACGCTTCAGTGATCTCTATTTCAGCCAGGGTTTGTCTCAGTCTTCGCAGTTCTCCCTTTTGCTCTTGTGTGACCTCCTCCAGAGTCTCTATAGTATTCATTGCTGGTTAACACCAGATGCGCCCCGGTTAAATGTTTAATTTGCTTTGAAGGACGTAAATGAATTCGGCTTCCTCGGCAAAGGCATACCTTCTTCTAAAATCTGTTTTCTTGTGACATCTCGCAACTCTGTTGCACCATCATTTGGCACCACTTCGTTCTTTAAGTCCATAAAGGCGAGCTGAAACCAGGAATAGCGGGTTGCTGCAGCAAGAAAAGAAGTAAATAAATTCTTCATGGACAGAAATTAAAAAGCATGGTTGTGCACACACCACGAGTTAAAGCTTAAAACACATCCCGCGTACATATGTGGCCAGCAAACTGATGAATAATTAAAGTGCATGCAAGTCACTTACGTCCATCTTCTGAAATGGATGTCAAGCATAAACTAAAGTGTTTCTAAAAGATTGTAAGATCACGCGGTGCCAAGTTCTCCTTAAGAATCAAAGTAAATAATTAATGATAAGTAGATAAATGCCGAAATCTTTAAGGAAATCAAACTGGGTTCGGTAATCGGTAGTACCTTAATTCTACTTCTAGGGCGGCATATTTCAGCGCCGCTTGCCTTTCTCCGTCTTGCGTCCTGCCAGTTAGCTTGGCTTACCACAACCACAGCCTTCGATGCTTCTGGATCTTCATCCTTGACAGGACATTGCAGTGACCTTGTGCGATGCCGTCCCAAAACAGATACCGTCCCGGACATTACAGCGCATTTGGCGTTGTTTTTGATGGTCTGAATCGTCTTTTAAAGATGCTTCATTTGCAGGTTTCCGCAGTGGCGAATCTAGCCGGGTTTCGGAGGGGTAGCCAGAGAACTCACACGAAAGGGGGGAATATTCTCTCGCTTTTTGGCGACCTCCGCCGTAAAAAATTTCGCAGTGTACCCCCCTCTTGCGAAATTTTCTGACGTCCAGGTTACGGGGGGCCATGGCTGCTCTGGCACCCCCCTAGACGCGCCACTGGGTTTCCGGGCGCTTCCCAGACGAAACTCAGTTCCTAGCAAAATCCGACCACGTCAGCTTTGTGTTTCTCGTAAATCTGAATTTAGTATTACGTTCTGATATACGAGTAAGACATAATTATAATATTACAGGAACACAGCAAACCAGATTATGATGGTATTTATAACAACTTCTCCTTAAAGCTTTCGTTGAGTATCTACAAGCACGGAAAAACTTAATTGTCTACGCGTGTAGTTCAATAACTGCGGTAGAAGCTTGCTGATGGCATGGATAAAAATAATATGTACTACTACTTGCTGTACTTGTGTGTGCCTCGTAGAAAGCAAAACCGGTTTTAAAATTCGGCGTGCATGTGAGATTGTACATACTCGTGTTGTAACAACAACTAATAACCAAGTATGTACGCACACACTGGTATCGGATTGTGTGTTAGTAGCTGTGCGTACTGCGTATGGAATTTTAATAAAACGATATCACTAAAAGGCGTCTCCAGTGTACAAATAGACATCCTCCAGATAAGTTTAAAGAATAATTCTTCGCAGCTGGCTCCATAACCTTGAATAGATACAATAAATTGTGGGGTTCCTGTTGAATGACGACCTTTACCCAAGAGCGTGCACGAACGTTCGTATTTATTTGCATAAGCAGCATATGGCAGAAGACCTCTCACTCCAGCATACGCCGGCACTATCGGCATAAAATTTTCCGCAGGCACTTGCAAATTAGAGAACGCCAGCGAAAATTCTATGATCCGTTGTAAAAAACTCTGGCATAATTCCACGTGAGGTGGTGAGCACCACCAGCATTTCTGTTCAACGCTAAATATAACGCATCCCTGTTTCCTATCATTTCTCTCTACTTAGTCTTTATTTTGTTTCTCTCTCTCTCTCTCTATTTAGTTGCATGTTTTTCCATACATGTCTACGACCGTGGCAATACGCGAAGCACGGTATAAAAACGCTCGGCGCAGCCGGCGTATTAACCATTAACCCTTACGGAATAAACTCATGTTCATCAGATTATTGATTTCTTCCTGCAAATACATAGAATAGACGCATACTGCATATAGTACAGTACGATATTCTTGTTATGTCACGGGCATAACAAGTGGTGCCGAAACCGGTTTTATAATCGCCGAAAGTGGAGTGCACGCCACGATCGGACGATTGGAGGAATCATCAAATTCCTTGTCATCAGATCTTCCTCTCACCTGAATATTCACATAACACTTTAACCTTATTGCTTTAAATTTTAAA